TCGGTTCCCTGTGTACACGTGGGAAACTGAGAACAGCCTCCCACTCCCTCTCCACCTGCTTGTCCCCTACCTATCACCAGGCGAATGCGCGGGTATTTCCTCTGGAAGCCCTCCCACGGTCATTTCCCATGTGACTGTTTATCCCACTGGACCATGAACTCCTTATCAGTAGGGACTGTGATCTCTTACTGTAGGCCACACACTTACCCAGTGCCAGATACACAATAGGTCGCATTAAATATGTGTTAAATAAATGTCTATTTTGAGATGACCTAGCTCACCCCTCCTTTGAGAGATGAGGGAACGAAGACATCCCCTCCAAGTCCCCAAAAGAAATAAGGTGAAATGATTGACTCTGGGTTATATTACTGAGCATTGGGAGTATAAGTTATTCACCTATTCAACACGTATTTATTGAACACATATCCAGTGCCATACACTATTTGAAATTTTGGGGATACAGCAGAGAACAAAACAATCCTAGATTCTAATAAAGCTCTTTAAAGTTTAATTTGGGAAGACAGAAAAGAACTGTGATGCAAAATACGCCAGGGTAAAGAGATTGAGGGTGTCATGGGGAGAGTTGCTTTTTTTTTTTTTTTGAGACAGTGTTTTGCTCTGTCACCCAGGCTGGAGTGCAGTGGTGCGATCTTGGCTCACTGCAGCCTCGACCTCTTGGCTCAAGCAATCCTCCCACCTCAGCCTCCTGAGTAGCCGGGATTACAGGCCCAAAACCTGGATAATTTTTGTATTTTTAGTAGAGATGGGTTTTTACCATGATGCCCAGGCTAGACTTGAACTCATGGCCTCAAGCAATCTGCCCGCCTGGTCTCCCAAAGTGCTGGGATTACAGGCATGAGCTACCATGCCTGGAGAGTTGGTATTTTAAATAGGAAAAAAGTTGAACAGAAATCTGAAGGAAGGAAACGAGGAAGCCAGGAGAATTTTCTGGAAGGAGAAAAAAAAAAAAAGAAAAAAAGAGTGGTCCAGGCTTAAATAAGGCAAACACCAAAACCTGGAGGCAATAATAGGTGTACCCTATTCAGAGAACTCTAAGGAGGACCGTGTGGATGAAAGAAAGGAGCAGGGGGTAGGCGTAGAGGAAGGAGCAGAGGGTGGAGAGGGGCCTGGAGGTGGGAGAGGTAGTTGGAGGCCATATCAAGCAGGTGTGGTAGGTGGCCGTGAAGACTGACTTTTACTTAGACTAAAGACTGACTTTTACTTAGAATGAGATGAGAAACCATTGGATAGTTTGGTGTGTTGCTTTTAAAGAGATGGAGTCTTGCTCTGTTGCCCAAGCTAGTGTGCAGTGTCTATTCACAGGAGCGATTATGACACATTACAGCCTTGAACTCCTGGGCTCAAGCAATCCTCCTACCCTGGCCTCCCAAGTATATGGGACTACAGGTGCATGCCACCACACCCGTTTTTTGTTTTTTGTTTTTTGTTTTTTTAAGTGCAGTGGCACAATCTAGGCTCACTGCAATCTCTGCCTCCCTGGGTCCAAGTGATTCTGATGCCTTCGCCTCCCAAGTAGCTGGGATTAGAGGCATGCACCACTGCACTCAGCTAATTATATAGTTTTAGTAGAGATGGGGTTTCACCATGTTAGCCAAGCTGGTCTGTAACTCCTGACCTCAAGTGATTCACCCACCTCGGCCTCCCAAAGTGCTGGGATTATAGGCGTGAGCCACCACACCCAGCCACCCATTTGCATTTTGAAAGGGTCACTCTAACTGCTGTTTGGAAAGGAGGTTTTAGGGGAATGGGGATAAATAAAAATAGACCAAAGAGAAGGCTAATCCAGACTAGAGATGGTGGTGGCTTGCATTAGAGGGTAGGGTAGCAGGTGAAAT